GGCTCAGGGAAGGTGGTTGAGTCACCATCCGTGGAGGGATTTCAGAGAGGTGTGGACAGGTGCTGAAGGGCATGGTTTAGTGGTGTATTAGCAGTGTTAGGTTGCACTTGATGATCTTAAAGGTCTTTTCCAACCTAAAGATTCTGTGATTCTAATTGGAGCATCTAAAAGATGATGCTTTGGACACCTTACATTGTCACTTCTTTGCCGTGTGTCACAGCCTGCGGGGGTTGTGCGTCGAGGGCTAGCACTCTGCTGTCCTGAGCTGAGTCCTCCCTCTGCCCTAGCCAGGTTTATCTGCTGCCCTGCACCTTGGTGGACCCCCCCGGCGAGGCTCAGCCCTGCAGCAGCTGACTTGGAGCATCTAAAAGATGATGCTTTGGACACCTTACATTGTCACTTCTTTGCCGTGTGTCACAGCCTGCGGGGGTTGTGCGTCGAGGGCTAGCACTCTGCTGTCCTGAGCTGAGTCCTCCCTCTGCCCTAGCCAGGTTTATCTGCTGCCCTGCACCTTGGTGGACCCCCCCGGCGAGGCTCAGCCCTGCAGCAGCTGACTATTAGTAGCTGTGGGTTTGAAAGAGCTGTGGGCGTTGAATCATGAGCTACACTTCGGCTTAGCTCCCTCGATGAGCTTGCTGCGGCGTTTTGCAGTACGTCCGCTTGCATTCAGCAAGTTGAACGGAGATTTTTTCAGCTTTAGTAGTTCTGGGCCCCAGTTTGGTTGTCTGCTAGCCTGGGGCCACGCTTCCTTCAGACAGCTGCTTTGGGCTGCGAGTGTCGAAACATGCCTGAATTCATCTGGTTTAGGGGCAGATGTGACTGCTCCTTCGAACAACTTCTTTCATACGAGTTTTCCAAAACTGAAGGGCAGGCCCCAGCAGGAGTGGTCCTGAATAGCTCCTTACATAGGCAAGTGCTGCTTGGGGTCTGCCTCAGAAGTGCTGCTGCAAAGGCGTGTATGATGTGGGGTCAGTTTGTGTCAGCTAAACAGTTGACTCGAGCAACAGAGTCCTTTTAGGAATATATTTATGTTTTTATTACTGATTTTTGCTTCGCAGAGGTAGACAATGTGGGGCAAGGTCACATCCAGCTGGCGCAAACCCTGCGGGAGGAAGCAAAGAAAATGGAAGACTTCCGGGAAAAGCAAAAACAGCATCGGAAAAAGGTCGGGCACCACAGAAGCGCATGCCTTTGCCGTAGGGTGTGGATCCAGCCCCAGTGATGGGCTGCTTCTGGCTGGTATATCCCACCGTGCCCCAGCCCCCTCCATGCCCCCAGTGCCTGCCACTGCTGGGAAGTCCTGAGCAGCTTCCTACGTGTTGCAACCGTGCGGCAGCCTCCAACTTCCTTCTTCTCACTGCCATTTCTTCTCCTTTGGGTGCCTTTTGGAGCCAGCAATAGCAGGGGCTCAGCTCCAGGGATGACAGCCTCACCCAGGGAAGTTTTTAAATCGTGTATAGTGCTGTATGATCTCCATAAGGTCTGCTAAAATTGGCAGACTCTTTAACTCCTTCTGGCTTGAGATTCCTCTGTCTGGAAAAGGAGTAAGGACTTTAAACTGAAAGAGGGCAGGTTTAGATTGGACATCAGGAAGAAATTCTTCCCGGAGAGGGTGGTGAGGCACTGGGACAGGTTGCCCAGAGAAACTGTGGATGCCCCATCCCTGGAAGTGTCCAAGGCCAGGCTGGATGAGGCTTGGAGCAACCTGGTCTAGTGGAAGGTGTCCCTGCCCCTGGCAGGGGGCTTGGAACTTGATGATCTTTAAGGTCCCTTCCAACCCAAACCATCCTGTGATACTCTGAAAATGAGGGAAAACTGCTAAAACCAGGGGCTGGTTTAGATCTAGCAGAGGGGAGCGGGCTTCTCAATTCTGTCAGACCCTATGGAGATGATACAGTACTACATATTGCCAGGGTTTCATTTGTAGAGCTCCTTTGCATGCAAAAGTGAAGGCTTAGATAGAAGCATAGAAGACGGGTTTTGTGAAGATGCTTTGGGTGGATTAAGGTCCTTAAACCTAGCTCAGTCTGGTCTGTGCCTCTTCCTTTCATAAGCCACGTAGTCCATTTTGGAGCTTCAGCGGTCAGTGATGTGCTGATTCGGGGTCTGTTGTCTTCACAGATAGAGATGATAATGGAGGCGATTCACAAAAACAGGAATTTGCAGTACAAGAAGACCACGGAGGTAAAGCAAACGTGCTGCTGTTTCTTCCCATATGCGTTATTGCTGCTCACACACACACTGAGGGCAGACTTGAATGGGAGGAGTTTCCTCTTCTGCTGCAACCCTCTACGTTGTGTTTGCACAAGTGGTGTGCAGGGTGTGCTTAGAAAAACTGAAGAGTATGCCAGGGACACAGCCAGTGGTAGCCTTGCAGGATTGGATATGAGTGGTTTAGATGTCATGGACTCGATTGCCATGAGCTTCTCATCCCAAATGAAAAGCAGCTTGCCTTGGGACCTCAGTTTTACCTAAGCAGTAGGGCAGCTGGGACCGTGTGTGCCTTCCCTTGCTCTGCAGGCAGCCTGCACCCACCTTTTCACCTGTAGGATGTGCTTTCCTCCAAAGCCTCCTGCGGGAGAGCTGTGTTTGCATCTCATTGCTTGCCCTGTTTGGTGTCTCTCCTAGGCCAAGCGGCTCTACGAGCAGCGCTGCAGGGAGAAGGATGAGGCAGAACAGGCTGTGCACCGCAACGCAAACCTGGTGACGCAGAAGCAGCAGGAGAAGGTACGGAGACGCGTGTCGCCGTGGGGAGGTGGCAGAAAGGGGTGTCTCTTCTTGCAGCTCTCCTGCCCCATGGCTCTTCTCCCAGCTCTGGGTTTTGGGGTTAGAGGGAGGCCTGGTGATGTTCTCCAGTTGGGCTGCAGGACTGTCGGTGGTGCACCAGGGCTCTCCTCTACCTTTCTTCTCTCTCCTGTTTTTGGCAGCTATTCCTGAAGCTGGCCCAGACGAAATCGGCTCTGGAGGACTCTGGTGAGCATGGAAATATGGTGGTTGGAGGGCAAGGGGAGCATTTCCAAATGCAGGGTCTTGTTAAGCCGTGGCATGGCTCTCAGATGAGCTTCATCTCTTGGGTCAGGCATGGCTCCTCAGAAACACATTCCCAAGATACTGGGGGTGGGCACCTGCCCTGGAGAAGCCTGCATGGCCTCACCAAGGCAACTCCCACCAGTTCCCTGTGGGTCCGTGTCCCCTTTCAGCGCCCACCCACAGCTGGGCTCATGCATTACTGCTGCTTTCTCCCCGCGTCCCTTCTGGGCTTCACACGTTGCCTTCTAGCGAAGGGGATTTTAAATCAACGTTCATCAGATGACAGTGTGTTTTCCCTCGCAGACCGGAGTTACCAGCAGAACGTTATGATGCTGGAGAAGATCCGGGAAGAATGGGTGAAAGAGCACATCAAAGCTTGCGAGGTAAATTCCCCGAAACACCTTCATGTGGCAACGTGGTCCTCTGGATGTCCATGCCTTGCTGCGAGGGTCACGGGTGGTGCGGATTTGCCCTCTCTGTATTCCCCTGGCAGTGAAGCAGCAGGATGTATTGCAGGTAACCCCGTGTGTGTTTTAGACTTGGCTTTGGATTCAAGGTCCCACTACTTCAACATTTCCACTATTTTTTGTTTTCATTTTTTCCTTCTGCCCCCGTGTAAAATTGACAGAGTCAGCACACTAAGTAGTGCCATTTTTCCCCATTATCTGCCTCCTCGTTTGGTGTGGCCATCTACCTTACTTTTTCCTTTTGAAATGGAATTTGCTGTCTGCTTTCTGTGTCGTGTGTCAGTGTCTTGGTGCTGGTGTGCTTTTGGTGTCTGAAGTCTCTGGAAGCCTCTGTGATGGTGGGGAGTGGAAAGAGTAGTTTCACTTCTGCACATGGAGCATGTGGAGGTTTTCCCCTCAGGGTGTTGCAAAAGTCGTAACTAGTAACAAGTCGACACGTACACTTGGGATGAAAGCTTATCTTTCATGGAAATGTGTAAGGGCACATGAAACTGAGGTGTACCAGGCAGCAGATTTCAAAATATTTGTGTCTAAACCTGCCTGGAAAAGGGCTGGGCAGGAAAGAGGGCAGCCAATGCGCTGCTGGTCCCTTACATCCCCAATGTTTTTTTATTGCTCCATACCTGTGGGAGAGAAGTGACCTGGGACCGCAGGCCCATGGGGTACCTCGGAAACATGCACTGCCTTCAGGAATCTGGCTTGGTCGCCCCAGAGGTAGCGGTGTGCTGGGTGACCCCTTCCATATTGGTCCTGTAGACCTTCCCGAGGTTAACACTCACCTTTGAAATACCTGGTTGTGTAGAGGGATGCCGTCTCCTCTGGACCAGCTGGAGGACTCGTGGTTTCCATGTTTCCTGCAGAAGGGCAGCACTACCTGCTCCACACTGAGGGTAGTCGCAGTGGCACTTGGGGATGAGGAGCAATCAGGATAAAAGAGATTTGTTCTCATTTTAAAGATATTAGGCCGTTTTGTCTGTGTCATTTCAGTTCTTTGAGACTCAGGAGTGCGAGCGGATCAACTACTTCCGCAACGCCCTCTGGCTTCACGTCAACCAACTTTCCCAGGACTGTGTCCAGAACGACGAGGTATATCAAATAAAAATCTTCCTTTTTCTGTTTGGAAAGCAAAGCCCAGTTTGGTTTGCTGTGCACTGAGCTGTGTTCCGTCCGGGCTGGGCTGTGGCCTTTGATCACCAGACACCAGCATGAGTGAGCAGGCAGAAGATTTTGGTCAGAGATCTTGCAGATGAGATTTTCTCCGGGATTCCCACATCTTTTGAGGGTGGTGAGGCACTGGCCCAGGTTGCCCAGAGAGGTGGTCGATGGCCCATCCCTGGAAACATTCAAAGCCAGGTTGAACAGGGCTCTGAGCAGCCTGATCCAGTTGAAGATGTCCCTGCTCATGGCAGGGGGGGTTGACTAGATGACCTTTAAATGTTCCTTCAATCAAACCATTCTATGATTCTCCTACCATTGAAGCTTGTGTCCTGGGTGAGCACTGGGCTGTCATCCCATGTGTGAGAAACAACTGGAAAAAAAACTCGTCTTTTGACCTGATGTATAGAAAAGCTTTTTATTTTGCTTTACACAGAAATACGAGGAAATCCGCAAGAGTTTAGAGAAGTGCAGCATTGAGAAGGATATTGAATTTTTTGTAAATTTACGCAAAACTGGAAGTTTGGCTCCAGGTAAGAACTTGGTACAATTTCACAAAGTAGTACTGGCTTCCTGGTACTTCTTACGGAGCTGCTGCTCTGATCAGCACCAGTTTGGATGCAGAAAATCACTGGTTTTGCAACATCCCTCCTTTCATTCACTGGCATGCAGCACTAGTCTTTGCCACTTATCACCAGGCCCTGAAGAGAATCTCCCCTTTCTTCACCTTTTAATTTTGTGATCAGGCATTTTCCCAGAGATGGGAAAGAGCAGCAACACAAGGTCTGTACTTTACTACTGTTAACTTTTCCTAGCTCCTGTTGTTTATGAGAACTACTATAACACACAGAGGAATGCCACTCCTGTGAGAAGTCCGGTTCCTGTGCCTATATCAAGGTGAGGGACATGACATGTACAATTGCTATCGCAAAGGATGCTCTTCCCTGCACAAAATCGTGTTTTGTTACTTTCAGTCTATTGGAGGCTTGACTTGGGAGTATTGGAGGAAAATATTTCCCATGCTATGTAGTCCATCACTTTTCACAGCAGGAGTTATGTCAATGTGCTGCCTACCAGAAGCTATTCAAAAACCCCCTCAAGCCCAGTCAGAGGTTATTGCTCCCCATTTTGGGGTAAATTCTCCCTTCTCATGGTTGAGGATTTTATTCTGAAAGTGCTTCTGGTGAGGGTCTGCTCATTTTTTCTTGTACCAAGTCTATTCCAGAAGTCCTTTGCATGGAGGTGAGGGGCTGTGGTGCTCAGGCAGCAGAAAAGCAAGGGGAAGACTGAATTTCATGTCTTGCTCTCTCTGGGAACTATCTGAGCTCCCTTCTAGAGCAGCTTTTGATACCAGAATGAAACCTTCTGGGCTGCCCTCCATGGTTCTCCATGTGGTCTGCCTATCTGAGGAGAAATGGATCAGTCAAAAGCGTGTGTGGGTGGAGGGAGGAACGACAGAGCCGAATTCACTCCCCCAGGACAGAAGCTGGGCAGGGTGATGGATGCTCCTGTAGGAGGGAAGATGAGGATTCAGGGCTAAAGACTGTTGCTAAAGATGAGTGTGCCGCTTTGGCTGTCATGCTGGGAGATGAGTCATGTCCAGTTACGGCTTCCTGATGTCTCACTCTGGGCAAAGGCATGTAAAAAATCGTGCCCTGAGGCTTGCTTGTGAATGTTTCCCCAGTTTAGTGCTTTTTCCTTACTATTTCCCCTCTCCCGCTGTATCGGCTTCAATCCCATTTGCCAGGCAGGCTGTCATTGGTGAGCCCACCATGACACACCTTGGTACCTGGTTTCCATAAATCCCAGGCTGGCCAAACCTCTCGCCCTCCCACCAGCTCTGGGAGGGCAGTTAGGGAGCACAGAGCCAGGGATACAGCAGCCCCATGGCCACGCAGATCCTCAGCTCTGTGTTTCCTTCTGTGCAGGAGGGGACCTCTACCCACCCCGATCAGCGCGCCGGGTGAGTTACTTGCTTTATGGGGTTTCTGGCCCCAGAGAAGAAGAATTCTTTCGCTCTTCCCCATCGGGTCGTGAGATTTAGCTCTCCAAAGGGATTGCTTTATGTGAAGCTCCTGCTCGAAGGCTGCTCCCCGCTGAAAGTTGCTGGGAGGTTGGGCACTGACTTCGGAGGCAAAGTGTCACCCAGGAGAAGTTCTGATCAAGGCCCTCTGCTTTGGCATTTCTGAAGCTGACGGATGTCGAAACTTGGGATCCCACCAGTCTCTGCAGTTTGGGCCTTTCTCTGCTTCAACAACCCGAGCTATAACATTCCTAGTGCCACTTCAGTGATGGGATACTGCAACAGGACTCAGTAAAATGAGGTCCTGCTTTGCTTTTTGGCAAACGAAGTCACCTCTTTGAGCCTCACTCGCCCTTGCCTCCCATCCCTTCAACATGGGCGGCCAGCACAGGGTGGTTCTGTCCTGAGTAAAGCCTTGCAATGAGCACTTCTTGTGAGCAGACACGATTTTTTTTGTTCTCTGTCTTTCAGGTGAGCCTGATTACACCACAGTTGATGGCTACAGCTTGATACATCACTAACAGCCACAGTAAGTACTTGCATTTGATGAAGAAGAGATTTAATAGGAGATGCAGTTACACAGAGGAGGGACAGCAGAGAAAGAAAGGCCACCAGTTAAGGGATGACATTTTGAGGTGACTGACTGGGAGTGATGATCATGTCAGCCCTCCCACCGCTTGGCTGAGCTGGAGCTGTGGTTTAGACACTGTTGATCCTGTTCTGTAGGTTCTGCGGACAGAAGACACCGTTGGCCGTGTCAGCATGGCAAGAGATGTAGTTCCCAGTTATTCCCAGCCACACAGAGCTGAAGTGCTTCTCCATTTTAAGAAAATATTTGTACATTCAGAAAGTGCCTACTAAAAATCTGTCCCTTTGATCAGCAAACTCCTTGGAATCTCATCTTCACACTCCGGGGAAGAAAAGGAATATGAACGATGGACCCAAACACAGGAGTGATCTGTGTCGGAAGACGTTTTTGGTTTGAAGTTCTGAAGTGCAGCCATCTGGGAGAGGCTGGAGCCCCCGACTCTCCGGATAACTACGAAGCCAGATGTGCCGAGGGCAGCGCTGCGCAATGCTTTGGGCACCTTGGCTTGTGTTCAGGGTGTATGTGTCCCATTCAGATCTCAAGTTACACTTTTGCCTGTTTCTAAAATCTTTGATTAATGGTGATTACACTTGTAATTTAGGTTTAATTTATAGAATCATAGAATCA